AACTTACTAATGTGCTGAAAGAGGGTGGGTAGTTATGTTCATCTGTGTGATCTGGTGAGTGTCAAAGCCACTGTTCTAAACAAAACCCAGAGAATCCAGCAGCATATTAATAAGATGGCACTCAAACATGAGCTCCTGAAAGGATGCCTGGGGCAGCAGCAAATAGGGCAGGAAGACCAAACAAACAACAAGATCCTGCATGGGATGTACCAAATAGCTGAAGTGACAGGCATTGAGAAATCCTGGAAAGGGCTGGCCTAAAAGACATCACAGAGGCACTGACAATAGCAGCACAAGAACAAGCCCTAAGCAAACAGATCCATAGAAGCAGGAGTTTCCCACACTAGACAGGACCCAAGGTATAGATTATGCAGGGGCCTCAGACACAATCCAACACATAGTGGCAGGGTCTAAGATGCAGGCAGGAACAACATACACTGAATGGTGCAACTAAAAAGCTGGCATTGTGTACAGGGACATTTGCATAGTATATGGGCTAGCTAGACCCTCTCAGGTCCAGATGGGAGATCCTACAGCAGGTTGTGGAGAATAAGAGGGCTGAAATGACTGTGGGACTTCCAAATACAGATTGACAGGCAGGTACTAGCCAATCAACACCGTGGTAGTAGACCAAATCCAGAAGACAATATACTGTACTTTTTGGAGTATAAAACACACTTTTTTCCCCCCTAAAAGAGGGTGGAAATGTTGGTGCATCTTATACACCGAATACAGCCATTTTTGGCATCCCAAAGCACTGCCCTGTGCATTCCATTTTTGCAAAAAACGGGCTCGTTTTTTGCAAAAACAGAGCACGGAGAGGCTTTGGGAGGCCTGCAGAGTGCTCCTAGGGGCTTAGGCAGTGGTGGGATTCAAGTAATTTAACAACCGGTTCTCTGCCCTAATGATTTCTTCCAACAACCAGTTTGCCAAACTGCTCATAAAGTTAACAGCCAGTTCTCCCGAAGTGGTCCCAAGCGGCTGAATCCCAACACTGGGCTCGGGAGGGAAAAACACCTCCATTTTTGCAAAAAACGGGCAAAAAATGGTGAGTACAGAGGGTTTGGGAGGCCTGCAGAGTGTTCCTGTGGGCTGGGGAGGGCAAAAATACCTCAATTTTTACAAAAAACAGGGCACCCAGAGGTTTTGGGAGGCCTGCAGAGTGTTCCTGGTGGCTGGGGAGGGCAAAAACTTTTTTTTCTTGCTTCCATCTTCGAAATCTTCGTGTGTCTTATATACTGGTGCGTCTTACAGTCCAAAAAATACGGTAATGATAGATAATGCATAGCAATACCAAGTGATAGTGATAGGAGTATGAGAAACTAGAGAAGAAATAATGTGTACCAAGTTTGTCCAAGAAAATGCTAGCTCCAAACATATTCTTGCAGGTTTCCTCTCTTCCAGAGAAGAAGGGAAATGGACAGAAAGTAGGTGGAGAAATTGGATATTTAGAATAGAAGTAGACATGGCTTTAATTCTGTGAGTGCAATAACATGTATTTTCTTTCAGGTAAACAACTGCAGATGCCTAACCAACATCTTCACCCTTGTGGAGGTAGGGAGGATATAAATTTCACCTTCCAGCTCCCAGAAAATCTTCCTGAATATGCTAATTGTCTTTAGAAAGATGTTTCCATTTAAAAAGCCATTAAAAAGGAGATTCACTTAAACTTTTCTTCCACAATTTTAAAACTTTAGATTATCTGAATAATTTAGCAAACTCTGTCTATCACATCCAAATCAAAATTTGGAAGCCTAAGTAAAAGAAAACAATTGCTTTGAATAATCACGTGCCTTTTGAATGATTGAAACACCAACTTGGATATTCTGATTTGTTTAGCACTGATACAAGAAGCATGAGGGTGGAAGATGGCAAGGCTGGAAGTAAACCGTGAGACCTCTAAGACCTCACTATCTAAGCCTAAAAAATGGGCAGCTGCCAGCCCTCTTGAGAAAGTCCAGGCAAGAAGCATGAATATCTTTGTAAAGTTACAGTAACAGAATCTTGCAAATCTGAAAGCAATTCTCCCCACTTTTACTTTCCAGAAAACTAGAGAGGGTCTCTATGAGATATTTCTCACAACCCTTTTCTTTCTATGACCTGAGGTACCTTTTACTTCTGTTTTAATTCTGTTAATACAGTAACATTATTTTCTTTCAGGTAAACAACTGCAGACACATAACCAACATCTTCACCATTGTGGAAGTAGGGTGGGTAAATTTAACCTTCCAGTTCCCAGCAAATCTTCCCAAATATGATACTTGACTAGGCTGCAGCTCATCTTCTTATTTCCCAAGGTCATTTCCACAGACCATTATATTTGCAAAAATGCTTGTTACCACATAAAGCTAGGAGAAAAAGACACTGTTTAAATTGTAGAACTAATTTGTCTGTCTGTCTGTCTGTCTGTCTGTCTAGCTATCTAGCTATCATCTAGCTATCTAGCTAGCTATACACACAGAGAGAGGTAGTCTTTGCTTAATGACCTTAAATGAGACCAGCAACTCCACCAATTAAGTGAAGCAATCCCTAAGTGGGAATTCATGTGACCACAACCGTACTTTCTGGCTGGAAAGAGTAAAAACTATTCAGATTCACACCTTCAGTTTTTCTTTGCCTCCTAACTATACCACTGGCTGTTTGGAATGCTGGAGTGCCTGCTTATTGTCTCCTACACATCAAAAGCAATGCAATCATGCCACAGCTCAGACCCACAGGCACATTATGTAAATAGCTTAGAGTATTCTCTTGAAATCTCTCCCTCTCCAATCTCTCAGGACAATGCATACTGACTTAATGGTTATCATGTGACCGAGGGATGTGGCAAAAGTTGTAAATAAGCTTAAATGGGCTGTAAAGTTATTTTTTTCAGTATTGTCGTAACTTTGAATGATTGCTGAATGAAGGAAAGTGAGGAGTACCTATAGTAAGACTGATTTGCAGTAATGGAACATAATACTGTAATTTTTTCCATCTGCAATACAAATAAATTTATTGCCATTATCAGATTATTGCCAAATCTGAGATTTGATTGCCATGCCCAGAATGAAATTCTGATATTTTTCTCAAGTATTTTTCATGATGTGCAGTATCTTTTTTCTTAGTGCTGAAAGATACATGAGTTATCACACTTTCTGACCAATCTTGCCGTAATTATCCACATTTTGATAATCCATAGCTTAAATTATTAGTGGTGCTGACTTAAGATGGCTCAGAAACCTTGTTAGCAAACTGCTAAATGAGACACTGCAAGAGATTGCACAATTGGGACTTGTCATTATATTTTGTAATGTGAAGCAAACCGTTGCCTTTATTGGAAGGAGATTCCAAAGTACTGAGTGAGTTCTGGATTCTAACCTGTTCTATTCTGGATTCTAACTTGCTTAAAAAATGGGCCTATTGCTGAAACATAGGCAACAAAGATTGCTTGAAGCACCTGAAGGCCAGACAAGGAATAATGGATGGAAACTGAACAAGGAGAGATTCAATCTGGAAATAAGGAGAAATTTTCTGACAGTGAGAGCAATCAACCAATGGAACAGCTTGCCTTCGGAAATTGTGGGAGCTTTATCATTGAAAGCTTTCAAGAAGAGACTGGACTGCCATCTGTCAGAAATGGTGTAGGGTTTCTTGCTTGGGGTGGTTGGACTAGATGCCCTACAAGGGCCCTTCCCAACTCTCTTATTCTATTAATGAGAGTCCTGGGAAAATGAGGACCACAGCCAGGGTATATCTTTAAACCAGCAGTTCCCAGTCTTTTGTTTATATGGATCATCATAGCTTTTGCAAAATATGGAATTATATTGACAATGTAAGAGCTGTAGACCTTTTGTGTATATAACTCTCCCAAATGCATGTACAGATCTCTTTTCCAGTCTGGTTTAGGACAGGGAAGGCTCAAGTTTAAGACTCCAATCAACTATGGAAGCACATTGATTGACCTTGAGTGAGTCATTCTCTTTTAGCCCAATCCACCTCAAAGAGAAAAAGTTAAGGCAAGGAATACTATGTTCCAGGGCCATCTTCAATTTCTGGGATAAAAGTGGAATACAAACATATTAAATTAAATGTAACAGTTTTTTTAAAAAAATTAAATGCCTACATTTCATAAAATAAATAAATCTTATGAATGCTGATGAATCTTGCAGAATTTGATCTCATGAGATTTTAGGCCTTTAAAAAATACTTTATTTAGAACCATCCCATAGTTGACCACTTTGCAGAGCATGGACAAGATTTGGGGGACTGAGTTATTCAGTTTTCTTGAATTTCATCCAGAAGCAAATTGATAAACCCTCTAACTGTCACAGAATAAATAATAGTTGAAGCCTCTGAGTAATTTTTAATGATAGCCCCACAATGCTTGTTAAGCTTGGTAGTACAGTGGTATAAGGCACCCTGTTATTAAGCTGGTTATTAAGACCAGCTGCCTGCAATTACTGCAGGTTCGAATCTCGCCAAGGCTCAAGGTTGACTCAGCCTTCCATCCTTTCTAAGGTAGGTAAATTGAGGACCCAGTTGTGGGGGCAATAAGTGACTTTGTATAAATATACAAAAGGATGAAGGCTATTGCTGAGCACATTGTAAGCCGCCCTGACTCTCCGGAGAAGGGCGGCATATAAATCAAATTTAAATAATAATAATAATAATGTAAATATGTAATTTTCTGATTTGCTCGGAAAAGGGAAAAATCCTTCTAAGAAGCCAATGATGGAAAGAAGCAAATGTGGTAATTAGTTCAAGCTAATTCCAAGAGTATGACCAGACTCAACTTTAGAAATATTTACACAACTGCATGTTAGTTACAATATCAGGTAAGAACCAAAGTAAGTCATATACAAATCCCAACTGAATCATAAATCTTAAATCTGATTTAATCTATCACACAGGATTGTTATGATTATTAAAACAAATGGAGAAAACTATGTGTGCTGTTATGATTCTTTTAGGAAAAAGACGTGAGCTTTAAGGGTAATAATTTTCACATGAAAATTGCTCACCCAATCTCCTCTCTGCCAGCCCATAAGACTTTGCAAGTTTAACACTGAAGTTGCTTCTACTCTGGCTTGATAATATATCTTGTATTTTGGGTGTATTCCTTCTAGTTGATGTTTTGGTTGTTGCTTTAGAAGTTTCAGTCATTTTCTCATAATATACACTCTGAACTTCAAAGATATGGTAGAGTCTTAAATACCTTGATTAAAATACCAGCTCAATATAGATAGAAATTGCTGGAGTAAAAGAAATTATGTTCTTACTACATGACTGACACAGAGATCTGCCTTGCCTTTAACTGACAAACCAATTCTTCTTAGAACTTACACCTTTCATTCTCTATGACATCACTTCAAAAATACTCATGTTCATTTTTTATGAATATCAGACAATTCTAAAGTAGTCTTGCAAGTTTTTAAACTGTATTATTCTCCTCCCCCCCCACACACACAAATATTTGTAATAACAAAAAGTAGAAATCTTAAAATTATACAAGTAAAATGTCTGTCTCCAAACAAAATAGCTGAGAGGGGGGGAAACCATTAAATTCGGGAACACTTTAAAAAATTCTCAAAAGAAATTGAGGATGAACTTTATAGCATTTTAATCTCTTTATTACTTTATAAGTTGCTCAAGACAGCAAACATGCCTAATACTCCTTCCTCCTCCTATTTTCCCACAACCACCACTCTGTGAGGTGAGTTGCCCTGAGAAAGAATGGCTGGCTTAAAGTCACAGCTGACGTTCATGTCTAAGGCAGAACTACAACTCACAGTCTCCTGGTTTTTAAGACAGCATCTTAACCATTAGTTAATTCAAAGATTCGATTTAAAGATAATGTTGAATTCATCCATTTTTATTTTTTGTCTTTTCTGATTATCTAGCTTTCACAGCCACATGGTACTAATGAAAAAAAATGATCATGGGAATAGATACTCAGAATTTGCAAGTATGCTTGTGAAATGCAGTCAATGTCATTTAATATTTTGTCTAGATTTATCATAGTCTCCAAAGTAGCTTGTGTCTCTCTACTTCATACCTACAGTCACTGTACTCCTTCACAGAGTTGTTGTGGGGGGGAAATCAGGAGATAGCATTATGTATACTTCTTGAGCTCCTGAATGAGGGGAAGGATCTAAAGCAGGGGTGCAAACTCATATTGTCATGGAGGCATTACATGACATATCATGACTTTTTCCCTCTTTGCTAAACTGGGGTTGGGGCAGCCAGTGTGTGAAACATCCAGCCCGGGGGCCATAAGTTTGACAGGCCTGATCTAAAGCTAATAAATAAATAAAGTAAGCAAGTAAGCCAAGCCTAGAATAATAAAATCTGTCACCACCTCCCTTTCTTCGTCACTTATCTGCACTGGACTGATTTTGCCTGGTGACACAACCTTGATTTCTTTTTCTTTTCACTACTGAACATCAGCCTGGCTTTTGCACTTTCTTCTCTTGCCTTTAGCAAGAGATTCCTTAAATCTTTCTTGTTTCCAGCTATCAATGTGGTATCCTCAGCACAACTGAGATTGACATTTTCCCCAAGCAATTTTATTCTGGTTTCTATTTCTTCCTCTTCTGTAATTTCTTGTGTTATATGCTGCATGTAAGTTAAATAAATAAGGTAAAAAAATAAACATACTTGGCACAGTCCTTTTCCCATTTTTGAAATATTTAGATATTCCATATTTTGTTCTGATGTTTTTTTGTCATCATGCAAATTCTTCAGTAAGCAAATGAGGTGCCCTATACAGCCATGTTTTAAAGATTATCTACAATTTGTTCTGCTTTATATAGGGACTTTTTAAATAATTAATAAAGCAAAACTAGATGTCTTATAAAAACTCCAGTATCTTTACCTTCATGTACAACAAATACAGCAATATGGTCTCAGATGGCTCTACTTCTTCTAAATCCAGATTATACATCAAGCAGCTCATTCCGAGGTTGCAAAAATGTTTGGTAGTCTTTAGCTCTGCTCCTTTTTGACTACTGTTGCGTCTTTCACATTTCAACAAAATCAATTTTTTCCCTCTGTTCTCTTTTGTTTTCTACATTTCTTCATATCAGTTTATATTCAGATTTCATTTTTGTTGTATTTTGTTAATGTCAAATTATCTTTTTTTCCTCTCTACTTTTTGTCAGGATTACATTCAGAAACATTTCCAAATGACAAAACTTTAAAAAATTTATCATTGCAGACTTATTGCTTATATGTCGCACTTTTCAAAAATCGGCATTAAACTGTAACTTTAAGAGATCTATAGCACTGCAGGGCACTCCAGTTCCTCTTTACCTTACAAAAGAGGTGGTATTCAGCAGGTTCTGACCAGTTCTGGAGAACTGGTAATGGAAATTTTGAGTAGTTCGGAAAACCGGTAAATACCACCTCTGACTGGCCCCGCCCTCATCTATTCTCTGCCTCCTGAGTCCCAGCTGATTGGGAGGAAATGGGAATTTTGCAGTATCCTTCCCCTGCCACACCCACCAAGCAATGCCCACAGAACCGATAGTAAAAAATTTTGAATCCCACCGCTGCTTTACAAACATTAATTATTTCAAGATAAATGGTGGTTCCTATTCAGTTAAGCTGTGTAGATCAGAATGTCAAAACATATACTATTTTCATCATGCATTTATTTATATCCTACTCAAAGGAGCATCAAAAAAAGAAACAGCTCTGATTTTGCTCAAGTTTCTCTAGGACATAAAACCAGAAATCATAAGAAATGATACACAATTTCTCTACTCTGTTCATGTGGGCTTTTTACAATTTCTTTTTTTAAAAAATAATGGTTTGGTGTAGATGAGGATACCTAGAATCCCTTCTAAACTACTATCATATCATTGTTTGAAGCACCCAATCCAATTCATACAACACTGGAGTCTTATCAGAGACAATTTCCCAAACCTGTCTTTTTAACAGAAGAAAATTTTTAAGTGTATGTATATATGTATGTATGTACTTGTATGCATATGTGTATATGTGTGTATATCAATATTAATGACATAATCAAAATCAACATAAAAAACATAAATCAAAATACAAGTCTATATAAACTGGAAATCTAAACATTCAAAAGCAATAGAACTAACTCATCATGCAAAGAAATAGTCATAATAATACTACTTTATGGTTTGGTGAAACAAACAAATCTTTAGAATGTTGTTAAAAATGTGTCCCCCAATTTTATAACTGTCAATTTTTGAACTGGGAACAGAATTGTTTCATTTTACTTTAGTGTTTATCCAACATTTTCTAGTAAGTCCTAAAATTGAGTGGATTCTTGAGAGAATGTGTTCTGTTTTGATTTTATTGTTTTTTGTGATATTTACTTTCAACTTGAACTAAGAATGATACTTAAGAAGGGTGTGAGTTAATGGCAAAAGGTCAGAAATACATAGATGCTGAATGAACATGGACGAATGGAGTACAGTATGTTCAGATGGTTTGCTCATACGTAGAGAATGAATTGGAAATAAATTATTAAATTATGAAGGAGGAGTGAACGGATTAAGAAAAATGGGAAGAATAAACATTGTTCTTGGATGGAATTCCTCAAGATAAAAAAGGTAAAAAATTTAAAGACCAAATTTTAAAGACTATTTTATTTTATTTATAAAATGTATTGGCCACCCGTATTAATACAGAGTAACTTTGTACATCTGTGTATAGATGTAGAAGAAAGGAAAAAGTTTGCAAGCATAGAAAGACATGAAAATATGCTAAATGGCATTGTTATGAATTAGATTTTTGCTCCTTTATATCAAGTCTTTGATCTTTTTTCATTGCTATTTATTCCTTTCCTGCCCTTTGTATAATATTGTTTAAGGAATACATTTTAAAAACTATTATACAGACAATAAAAAGACCTTCTTGAAAAATATATTCAGGGCATCAAAACATTTTTTTTTCCAAAAACCTAGAAAAAGCTTAAATATTATGGATCAATTTTGAGGCTAATTGGACAATTTAGCTAGATTAATGGATGTCTATGTCTGAAAATGAAAATGTGACTTGTAATTAAATATTGAAGAAATGGTAATTTGTTCTTTGATTATTGAAATAGACATTGAAAGAACTCAGGGGAACATCTCTTTATGTTTTGTAAACTAGAAATTTAATATATGTTGAAAATTAAAAATATCAAAATAAACTAAAAGTTTGGATCTATGTCTAGTTTTATTTTATTTAAGCTATTTATATGCTACTTTGCTACTTAAATCTGTTGTTCAGAGAGTTACTTTGTAATCACTGTTAGTAAAATAAAACACAGATTTACTTAACAGTTTGCATTATACATCATTCTGATCTGTTTTTGACTTTGCTTTATACTAAACTGAGTCAGTGTATCAATTGTAGCTTGTTTAGGGCCATGAATATTTTTAATACCAATTGTGACTTAGCCTAATTTATGATGGGGATTATTGATAGTTTATGCTTTTCTATTTTATATCTGGTTTGATTTTGTGGCCCATCCTAGTCTCTAACTAGCTCACTGAAGTAGGAAAGGAAAAGAGGAAAAATCAGAAAGAGATAAAACAAACCACGATTATTTGTTCATCTGACTCCCTCGGTGTATTAACTTTAGTAAACCAAGATTTTAATTATCATACATTGAAGTTATATTGACTTGACTCTAACCCTACATCTGGTTCACACCAAATACCAAGCTATAATAAGATAGATTCAATCATAATTTTAAATCAAAAGTCAGGCATTATGGTTCAGCATTCATTATGAAGCCAGGTACCACTGTCTCTGGCTTGCTTAACAAACCATAACTCAAAGTGATGTGGGATTGCATTTTAAGCATTTGTACTGCCAGCATGTACAGCATGCCAGCTCAGGCCAGCTAATCTGACCTGAGCACATTTACATCTGGTAGTATTTACAAAGGACTTAAACATGAAGCGAATTTACTAGGGATAGAATTAATGATTCATAAAATAGATTCCCAATAATAAGCCCTAACATATATCTTAATTATTCAGCTCTAAATAATATGTAAGCATTAGTTGCATAAGCATTAATCATCCAGCACTTTTCTGTTATTTGTTTTTTTATGTCTTATGCAATATATACAACGTTATGTTAATTCTGTGTGGGTATCTAGATGGAAAACAACAGGTTTAGACTCAATCCTAGCAAAACCAAAAAGGCTGGGGGTTGCCTTAATATGGAGAATGTCCATACTTAGTTCTAGTTGGGATTGCACCAGACAAACCCAATGTGCACATTAGATTCTGGGTTCCTGCTTGAAAATTAGCTTTGCACCAAT